CTTCAGTGGGGGAAGAGGGTGAAAAACCAATAGGAAACATCATATAAACCTCTTCATTAAGATCACCATGTAAAAAGGCGTTATTAACATCTAATTGATAGATTCCCCCACCCTTCTTCACAGCTGTAGCAAGAATGCATCTAATTGTAGTCATTTTCACCACAGGTAAAAAGGTTTCAGTAAAATCCACTCCTTCCCTTTTAATATCTCCTCTTACTACTAGCCGAGCCTTTAGTCTTTCCACACTACCATCAGAATGGTTTTTCACCTTATACACCCATTTGCAAGGTAGTGCTTTTCTACCAGGGGGTAGTTCCACTACTTCCCAGGTTTGATTCTATTCAAGAGCTTCAATCTCCTTTACCATGGCTTCCTGCCAACCTGGGTGATGTGCTGCTTGACTGTAACTGGTAGGTTCTTAGTACTAGACAGAGAATTTAGGAAATTCTGATTTGAGGTAGAGAGCCCAAAGAAAGGAAAACTAGGTGGTGTAAAAGGGGAGAGGAAACAGGCAATGCTAACATCTGTAAGTTGAATAGCATTGCAAATGTAATCTTTGAGATAAGGTAGAGGATTATGGGGTTTAGATGACTTTCTGATCAAATTGTCTATCATAGGTTCATATGTAGAAGGTGAGGTAGTGGGAACAGGAGAAAGAGAGGCAGTACGGACAGGAGAATGCTAAATATGGGAAGGTGTGAGTGAGGGAGTAGGAATAGGAGAGAAAGGTATGGTAGAAGGAGATATAGGTGAGAGATGGATGTAAGAGAGATGGGAGTTGCATTATCTTCAGCTGGTAATGTGGGCTGTACTTCTGGGATTGAGTCAAGAATACTACTGGTGGAATTAGGTAAAGGTGAGAGAGGCAAGAAAGAATTTGGAGAATGTTGAGGTAGTTTAGAAGAGAAAGGATAAACTTCCTTATGAAAAACATCTCTGGATATAAAAGGCTTCAATGTTTTGAGTTTCAGGACTTTGTAACATTTTACCATGTGGATAGCCCAGAAATACACATGGGATTGCCCTAGGTTGAAACTTTGCTCTATGGATGGAAAGGGTAGAGACAAAACACATACAGCCAAAACATTTTAACTTTGTGTAATCTGGTTTAGAATGAAAAAGAACCTCATAAGGTGTTTTAAAATGAAGAACCCTTGAGGGAAACCTATTAATGAGATAAGTTGTTGTTAAAAGACGATCACCCCATTAAGAAATAGGTAAATTAGACTGAAAGAGTAGAGCTCTAGAAGTCTCCAACAAATGCTTATGTTTTCTCTCCACAACTCCATTTTGTTGTGGGAAAGCAGTACAGGTAGTCTGATGTATAATTCATCGGGAAAGAAAAAATTCTGACTGGGCAGTCCCACTTCCTAACTCAAAGGCATTATCTGATCTAATGGCCTTAACCTTCGTATGAAAATGTCTTACTACCATAGCCAAGAATGATTTTAAGACTGAAAAGGCATTTGAGTAAGTAGGTCCATGTACCTCTACTATAGTCATCCACAATTGTTAGGAAATACTTAAAGCCATCATAAGTAGGTTTATTATAAGGGCCCCATGATATGAATTAATTCGAAAATGTTCTTTGTGGTAATGATGCTTGTGGGAAATGGGAGTCTAGATTGCCTTGCCATAGGACAAACAACACAAGGAGTATAAGACTTGGATGAAACAGAAATAGGAATAGCAGAAATGTTTTTCATATTATTGAAAGGCATATGGCCTAGACTATAGTGCCATAGCTTATCTTTTACATTGGAAATAGAAGTAAAACAGGAATGTAAAATAGGTACATATTGTCCTAGATTAAGCTTCCTGCTAGAAAAAAAACTATTGCTAGACTTGGATAAAATACTGGGAATGGCTGCTGTTGACCTTGATTGAAGGATTTAGAATCTTGTCTTCTCCTTACCAATCTCCAGAGGGATCTTCAGTGAAGGGCCCTGCAGAAAACATGAAGAAAAAGTAAAAAGAGTGGGCGTTTTAACTGTTTACACAACTTGTGAACAGATAAAATATTATATTTGAAAGATGGGATATAGAGAACATTTTGAAGTATTAGATTAGAAAACAGAATGACTGAACCATAGTGAGTTACTAGAACCTTTTGAGAATTTGGCAAGTTAACAATTCTAGGCTTGATTAAAGGTTTAAGGACACAAAGAAATTTCCTATTGTAGGTCATATATTCTGAGGCTCGACTGTTTAATATCCAAGACTGAATATTGATTTCAATGAAACAAGCAGGAGAATTAAAGAACGAAGGTATACCAGCACAATTAGCATTTGCAAAAGCATCAGAGGAAGTTCCTGCCACCTGTTGTCCAAGCTTAACTTGCTGAAGGAGCTGGAGTAGCTGAGCTACATTCTCTTGGGTGAGTGATTTTGTCTCTAAAACACTAATTGCCTGTTCATTTTCATCAACTGCATTAAGAGCATTGATGGCTTGTATTGGACCTTGGAACTTCTTTTGTCTTGTAAACTTAAAGTCTATTAGAAAACCATGGATCCTGTAACACTTGTCTATAGTGTGTCCTGGCTTCTTACAGTAGGCACAAATGGTTGAAACCTTCTTAGAATCAATAATACCCTTTTGACCTCAGTGTTCATTGTGTCTCTTCCCCCCCCCCCCCCCCTGGCTGATTAGCAGCAATAAAAGAAGCAGACTCTCCTAGATAAGCAGGGGTTGCATGAATCTCCCTCTGCTATTCATCTTGGATCACTAAGGAGTATGCCTGTCCAATAGTGGGCAGAGGAGAAGATAACAGTATGTTACTTCTTACTTCTATGAAGCACTCATTTAACCCCATAAGAAATTGCAACAATCTTTCATCTTGATGAGCTTTGTGGTTCTTTATTTTAGCTCCATAATCACAATCACATACACAAAATGAAAAGTGTTAAGAGCATCAAGCTCATCCCATAAGCTCTTCATCTTAGTAAAATAAGTTGTAACACTACAATTTCCTGCACCACAACACTTAGCTCCTTTTGCAGCTGGAAGAGTTTAGCATTATTTGTCTGACCAAATCTGTCTTCCAGGTCAGCCCAAAGGTCTTTTGCACTTTGTGAATACAACACACTTTCTGCTATTTCTTTGGAAAGTGAGTTGAGAAGCCAATAAAGGACCATATCATTGCAACGTGCCCAAGCTCTTTGAAGTCCTGAATCAGCAGCAGGAACAACTAGGGTTCTATCAATAAACCATAGCTTGTTCTTAGCAGACAAAGCTATCACTACTGCTCTTCTCCATCCTCCATAACCTCTGCCATCAAACACAGAAGAAACGAGGCTCATACCAGGATAATCAGAAGGATAGAGGTAATAAGAATGTGCTGAATCAACAACACCAGAAACAGTAGATCCTGCTGCTATAGAAACTCCAGTAGTAGGAGTAGATGAACTTAACAAATCGCTGGGCTGACTTTCAGTTGCCATTATAGTGAGGAAGAAAGAAAAAGAAAATGATGTAGTGTGAATCTATAGCAGATCAAACCTGCTCTGATACCATGATGAAATAGAAGAACAATTTTAGAGAATTTTTCCTTTTCTGTATATTGATTCTAATTTTACTATACAAGGACTGTGTATAAATACAAAAGGGAAAGAATCAGTGCATAACTAACTATCCTATGTGTCCTTATTGTATTGGCTAATCTGTAACAAACAAAGAACAATATTAACAGATGTTATCTTTCTTTTATTCCCTTCTATTCTCTTCTATTGGGCAGACGGATAAGGAGGCCCAAAAGACTGATGCGAGCTGAGTTGAGGAGGCCCAATGTCGACGAGACCACCCCATATCTGGATCCTGTAAGGGCGAACAAAACAAGACAGAGCTGTTGTCTTTTACAGACAACCTAAATTGTACCAAACCCTATACTCAACTCAAACCCTTTTCTCTATCAAACACCATAGAAGAATCTGAGATCCCTTCATCTCCAACAAAAGAACACCCTTGATAATATATCTGAAAATTAGGGGTGTTCAAACCGAACCGGAAAATCGCACCAAATCGAAAAATTGAACCAAACCGATTAAAAAAGCCGACTAGGTTTGGTTTAACTTGGTTTATATTGAGTAAAAAAACTCGAACCAAACCGACATATAAATATATAATTTATATATATATACATATATATATATATATATATATATATATATATATATATATATATATATATATATATATTTT